AAAGAAAGAAAGAAAGAAAGAAAAGTGAGAGAGAGATGAAAGAAAAAAGGGAAAAAGGGACAGAGAGACAAAAGGAGAGAGAGAGAGAAAGAAAGAAAGAAAGAAAGAAAGAAAGAAAGAAAGAAAGAAAGAAAGAAAGAAAGAAAAAGAGTGAGAGAGAGAGATGAAAGAAAAAAAGAAAAATCGACAGAGAGACAAAAGGAAGGAGAAAGAGAGAGAGAGAGAAAGAGAGAGAGAGAGAACACATGGCCGGCAAGCCACTCCCACAAAGGAGGCCACACCCACAGAGTAGGTTCGAAAATTTTTTGAAACCCACCACTGGTTTGAAGTGTGCACGAATGTTGCATTGGCTGAAGATCCTCCTGAGCATTTTTCAATGTTCCATTCAACGTATGAAATGACAATGTTGCTTCATTTATTGTTCTCTTCGTTGTCTGTTATGGAGAAGCTCCTGATCCTGTAGGATCTTTTTTGAGATTTGATGTTAAGAGTTTGAGTGCAAAAATTCCCCTAGTTAACATTCCACTCCCAGGCACACCCTCCTGTTATCACCCCATTGTCCAGTCACCTTCGGAAAAGATAAATTTTGGTAACTATGCCCGCTGTGGTTGGTGAGATGGATAGGTGTTGCCTTCCATTCCCAGGACCACGGCCTTCAGGTTTCTTGGGACAGTACAACTTATCCTTTTTCTTTTTTTCCCCAAGTCTTTCTTTCAGATTTAACTCCTGCCTCCCCCGGTTCCCTCCTCTTTATAACACATGGCAGACTGACATCTGGCTGAGCTCGGAGTTGAGTGAAAGATGGCAGTTCTGACACCCAGGCTCTTTCTCCTCTCCCTCACAGGCCCCTGTGGACACACCATAAAGAAACTGGGCCCCGCAGATATTCTGGGCATCACAACGAAAACCCTCCGCGTTAATGCTGAGCGTATCCTGGAGGATTTCAGGAAACGACAAATGCCTAGGTTCAGGTGAGCCGAGAAGCTAAATTTGCCGTTTTCTACTCATCCCCTCCGAGCTGGCCTGCTTCTGATGCCATCCACGGCATTGTTAAGTTTCCCAGAATGATTCATTTGAGATGGGTGGCTTTTATCAGTCAAATAAATAAATAAATAAACGTACCTGAGACATTTACATGCGTTTAACGACCATGGTGTTCGCTTAACAATCACTACAAAAAAGGTCACAAAATTAAGTGCAGTCACGTGGTGCCCTGCTTAATGACCGCCCGAGCTTACAACTGTAGCACCGGGGTGAATTACACTTATAAATTGAGGACTACGATAAAACTACCGTATTTTTTGGAGTTATAAGATGCACCTTTTTCCCTCAAAAAAGAGGCTGAAAATCTGAGTGCGTCTTACACACTGAATACAGCATTTTTTTGCCTCCCGAAACCCCGTTCCCTTCACCAAAATGGCCATGCATAGCCTTTAGGAGCCTTGCAGAGTGCTCCTGGGGGCTGGGGAGGGTAAAAATGAGTGAAAAACAGGCTGTTTTTTGCTCAATTTTGCCNGTTTACCCGAAAGTAAGACAGGGTCTTATTTTCTTTTGACTCCCGAAATAAGCACTTGGCCTTATTTTCAGGGAGGCCTTATTATTTTTTTGAGGTGCAGGAGGCGGCGAGCACCTTACAGCTGCTGCTGTGTTGCAATATTTTCAGGGGAGGGTTTATTTTAGCGCATACGCTCAAAACCTCAATTGGGCTTATTATCCGGGGAGGTCTTATTTTTGGCAAAACACGGTATGTATCACTTCACAGTGCTTTTACAACCCCCTCTAAGTGGTTTTACAGAGTCAGCATATTGTCCCCCAACAATCCGGGTCCTCATTTTACCCACCTCGGAAGGATGGAAGGCTGAGTTAGCCTTGAGCCTGGTGAGATTTGATCTGCCAAATGGCTGGCAGCCGGTGATCAGCAGAAGTAGTCTGCTGTACTACACTCTAACCACTGCGCCACCGTGGCTCAGTATCTTTATAGAGCACCCTGAATCAGTCAATCAGTCCAAAGTGCTGTTGCTATTGCTACAGCCTGTCCATGGTGAATTCTTGTCAATTTCATGGAATCCTCGAAGGGAGGGTGTTCTCCTTTGTTCCCCAAGCCAGAGATAGAGCCAGTTGGGCTTTTTTTTCAATCGACCCTTCTGGTCCCTTCAGGTCTTGCGTTCCCTGGGCTACATCAACGAAGGAGGAGCCGTGGAGCTCAAGGGGAGCGTTGCCCGTCAGATCAGCAACCATGAGCTGCTCCTGACGCAGCTGCTTCTGGACAACGCCCTGACCGACCTGCGGCCCGAGGAGATCGTGGCCTTGCTGAGCTGCACGGTGTGCCAGGTGCGCACCCAGGTGGAGCCCCAGCTGCCCTCCGTCCTTCAGAAGGTGAGTGGGGAATGGGGAGGGGAGTGGGATACAAAGGAGGACCTGAGTTGCCATTTGGGCTTCTTCCTCTCCTCCAAATCTTTGTCTGCTACCCACATCTCAGAGTTGTTGAGATCCAGATAGGCTACTACTATGGCTTAAGGTCAGCCGTCCCATTGGCTTATGCAGCAAAAGAAACTCCTGGCACATCATCTTACCCAAAAATATAACTTTACTGATAGATGAGTGGTGCAGTGGCCTAGAGGTGGAGCTCTTGCCTGACTATCAGGAGGCCGTGAGTTCGATCCTAGGTAGCGGCGGGTATATATCTCTCTCTCGGCACAATGAGTAAAATATCAGCTGCGAACTCTGCATTGGCGACAGGAAGGGTATCCAGCCAGTAAATACTCGGCTCCATTCAGTTGCCACACTCCTCCCCAATATAAGAGATTACAGGGTCATTAAAAGAAATTATTATTATTATTATTATTATTATTAATAATAATAATAATAATAATAATAATAATAATAATAATAATAATAATAATAATAAT